TTTTTTTTTTTTTTTTTTTTTTTTTTTTTTTTTTTTTTTTTTTTTTTTTTTTTTTTTTTTTTTTTTTGAGGTTTATAATTTAATTTCCTTTTTAGCCCTTGACGAGTTTAGTTCTGATTTTTTAATTTAAAATTGGTCTAATATGTCATTTATATCTAATGAAACTTTATAACGGTGAGCTTTAACACATATCGAATAAGTAAAAGACTTATGAGACATAAATTGAAAATTCAGGGACTTGAACTCCATGAATTTTAAGGAAAACTCTTCAATTCACTCCAATAAGAAGTGTCTGACCTTAGCTTGAACCGCACCATTACGAGTCCAAACCAAAGTTGAAGTGATTTGGACTCGTAATATTTGTTCGTCAGATCGGCTTCCTAAAGTTCAAAACTAAAAATAAGTTCGGATGGTTTCGATTGATTCATAATGGGAGGGAAAGTTATCTCTTTTGAAAGAGAGGACAATAATAGATATATAAAAATATGATACTCAATACCATAAGAGCAGCAGCAACTTCCAATAATTTCTATTTTTCTTTTAACCTTCACTCCCATACCTCAGCTTTAATTAGGCTCTCTTCAAGCACAGCATTGGCAATGGAAGTTCCTCAAGTTACTTACTTCTTCATGAATCATCTTATGAGTCCACCCACCATCATTTCCATAAAGCAAGCCACCTGCCTTCCTGCATCACATGATTGTATATTATGCATACACTTTCAAATCAATTTAGTGCAGTGTGTTTTGGCTTATAAGTTAAAGTTCGTGTAATTTAAGGTTAAGAAGCTGTACATATATTTAGAGTGTGTTTAGACTGCCTCATAAGCCTAGGCCTACTGAAACCATTGAGCTTAGCATCACCTGTGGCACGAATTCTCTAGTTCATGATTTAACTTATAATAGTCTAAGCACACCACTTGCAGATATTGTCTCTTTGGGTTTTCCCTATGGGTTTACTCTAAAGATTTTTAAAACGCGTTTGCTAGATAATAATTTTCACACCCTTATAAAGAATGTTTTGTTTCTCCTCTCCCGCCGATTTGGGATCTCACAATCTACACTTTCAGAGTCTAGCGTCCTCCTTGGCAATCGTTCCCCTCTCCAATCGAAGGGGGTAAATTGTGAGATCTCACGTCGGTTGAGGATGAAAACAAAATATTCTTTATAAGGGTGTGAAAACTTCTCCCTTGCAAACGCATTTGAAAAACCTTGGACTGGACTGTTACAAATGGTATCAAAGACAGACATTGGGTAGTGTGCCAGTGAGGACATTGAGCTTCAAAGGGGGTGGATTGTGACATCCCACATCAATTGGGGAGGGAACGAGTATCAGCAAGGACGCTGAGCCCCGAAGGAAGGTGGATTGTGAGATCCCACATCAGTTAGGGAGAAAAACGAAACATTCTTTATAAGGGTATGAAAACCTCTTCCAAGCAGACATGTTTTAAAAACCTTGAGGGGAAGCTCGAAACGAAAAAACCCAAAGAAGACAATATCGGCATCCTGTCACAAAACTCTCTACTAAAAAGTGGACCACCAATTGTGCTAGTAGATTTATTTGGAGCTTTTGATATCCCAATAACAGAGAAATTTGGTTCAATGGACATAAAAACCGGCAGAGAATTCAGTGGACAACATTTTGCACATTGTTCATCTAAGGCTTGGTGTTAACAGAGCAGAAATATATTCTGCAGATACTGCCTTGTTATATACTATTTTTTCCGAGTATTTTCACCTTACAATGATCGCAGCTGACAGAGAGATACCAGAAATGAAGAAGAGCATTGTAAAAAATCACATGATCAAATTCAAGCAGTTGGCCTTTACAAATGGCTGCCAACACAATTCATAGGTTAGAGTATATACTTAAAAACCTGATCTACTCGAATCGCCTTAGGCCAATGGCTTCTAAATTTCATGTCAATTCGGGTTTCCAGTGACTTGCAATGAGGCATGGAGATTTTGTTTTTAGTTCAACAATAACAGAGTGAATATCAAAACATCAAGCTTTGGGATGTTAATTGGTGACCTTTTCCATTCAGCTATGTTCGGATTGGCGACAATCATGAAAAATACTACCACAAATAATTGTCCCCCACCCAATATTTTCAGCTTATTTGCAACTGACATGGCTTCGTCCTTTAGAATTCATTAAACTAATCTACTTTCCACTAGAACGGGAATACACAAGATCATGCAAATCACAACAATTTCAATACAGAATTAAACCATTTAATGAACGACTTCGCAATCGCAGGCAGCTTCTGTGAGGCATTTCTTCAAACACATAGCAGGCATACAAAAAAAAATAAAAAAAATGAATACAACAAAACCCCAATTCATTTCTAGACTCAAAATGGTGTAAGCCGAAGAGCTCAAAGAAATGTAATAAATGGTACCAACTGTTTGGCCGGCTTAGCACGGCGGCGGAGGGAGCGAAAGAGGAAGATGGAGATGGCCTAGCTGAATTGCTTTGCTACCCTGCATGCTTTGAGATGTCCGTACCATGCATTTGATTTTCTAACTCTTCTCTCTATCCTACCTTTCTAAAAGTTTATATATATAATTACTATTAAAAGTTTCAACTATATATTTTATCCAAAACTATTATCTTAAAGAATTTTAAATGAAATTTGGAGCTGTTCTATCCATTGCCTATTTGAAATTTTAAAAGATACCTACTCCCCCAAAATTATTTAAGAAAGATAAAAGGGTAATATTATAATTTTTTTTTTAAAAGAAGGGTGTAGAAGGGTGTTTCGAAACAAAAGGAAAAGTAGTGACGTTTCTCCTCTAAATAATTTAGCCAAGTTGAATAGTAAAGATAGAATTTCATTGCCAATTCAAACATAGTTCAATGAATAAGTCACTAAAATTAACCGAAGAAAAAAAATATTTCAAATCCATCCACAACAATGGTTGAAATTTAAAGGCTAAACAAAACTATTTAAATATATATATATATATGATTGATTAATTTATGAAAAAAAAAAAATAAACTCCTCTCATTTGCTTGTCATCTCATGTACAAAATTTTCACTTTTTTTTTTTCCTTTTTGAGGAATAGCAGAGAATCAGAAGGCCCAATCTCCACAATGCAAAAACCTTCTCAATTTTGAAGCATTTGTAGCTTCAAATAGACCAACATGTTTGTAATTTTACAAACATTGCATTGAGAATTTGGACCTTTTTCTCCTTGTTTGGCATTGAAAAGCGAGAAAAGTTCTATATTTTGTTCTTCTCAAAGCTCATTCAAACGTGAAACGGTACTAACGGTGAGCTTGGACTGTTACAAAATGGTCATTTGAGCTCCCTCCGATCCAATTCCATTAAGAAGAGTTTTGGGATGCTGCACAGCAATTTCAGCATATTTAGAGACAATGGGGGCTGTTTAGAAGCCTTCACTCACCATTTTTAGTGCACATTGGAAGCAACAGCTCTAGCCCAGAACTTGATTTGTTGTTTCATGTCTTCAGCAGATTTTCTACTGTCCCATTTTGGGATGGGAGGGAGGAGATGATTTTGGAGCATCCAAGCTTCAGAAAGATAAGGTCTTCTTGTTCTTTCACTGTCTAATTCTTCCTCTTTTTTCTCTCTCAACCCTGGAATTATATCAACCACTGTTGGGTTTATATCCTTTTTGTCAAATGTGAATCCCAAGTCCTTGAACCCTTGCAATTCTTCTGATTCAAGCTCACTTTGGCTTCTTCTTTTCCTCATTTGGATGAGAAATTGGTGCCACATTCTGTCGCTGTTTGTCGGGATTCGACACGTCGGGAGGCTGAAGTTCTTTTCAAGAATCTGTGGTTAAGCACACCAAGTATTACTAAAAGAAGAAAAGAACAGATGAAGCTTATTCTACTCATTCTAAACCTTCAACATTTTGTAGAATCTTCACATAAGTATCCACAATAACAGATGAAGCTTATTCTACTCATTCCACCCTTTATGCTATGTCAAATCAATGTAATATTTTCACAATCACATCAAGAAACGAACGAATGTTTGAATTCAAGACTTCTTGCTATGATACTATGTTATACTATCCTTCAAGATAATTTGATCTTTTCAATATATTCATGACATGAAATCTTAACTATGGGCAAGTTCTAATATAATTCAAGAACACATGAAGAACGATATGAGAGTTGAAACAGAACAATATGTTTGCAATACCTCTTGTCTTGTGGGAAAGAATTCAGAAAGATTCGGTTGAATGGAGTTTCTGATTCTAGCAGCAGCTTCCTTCTCTCCAAATTCCTTTTCTCTGCCTATAAATGGTGGCAAAGATGGTGTTCTTAGCAGATTGCCATTCCGTGGTTTCCTTGCGGATTTGCTCTTTCGAGTGCTACCACTTTCTTTGCTGCGAGTTCCTTCTTCTTTCCTCTCTACATATGGTGGTTTGGCTGGTTTTTGAAGCAACACATGTTCTATTAATGGCTTGGAATCATTCCCTTTCTCTCGAATACCTTGTTCTCGTTCCACACGGGATGGTAACGAAGGCATCCGGAGTAGACTCCGACATTTACCACCACCATATCCCAGGGAAACATTGATATCCATAGCAGATAAGCAGGCATTATCAGCAGGACTTTCTACAAGAACATCATGCTCTGATAATGGCCTAGAACCACTTCCTTTCTCTTGAATTCCTTCCTCTTGGTCCACATGGGACGGTAACGAGGGTGTCCGAAGGAGACTCCTATGTTTACGACCACCATTTCCAATCGAAACATCCATATCCAAAGAAGATGAGCAAACATTATCAGCAGGAGTTTCTACAAGAACATCATGCTCTGATAATGGCTTAGAACCACTTCCTTTATCTCGAATTCCTTCCTCTCGGTCCACACGGGACTGTAACGATGGTGTTCGAAGGAGACTCCTCTGTTTACCACCACCATTTCCAATCGAAACATCCATATCCAAAGAAGACGAGCAAACATTATCACCAGGAGTTTCAACAAGCACATCATGCTCCAACAAGGGTCTAGAACAACTTCCTTTCTCTCGAATTCCCTCCCCTCCTAGATCCATACGGGACGGTAACGACGGTGTTCGAAGCAGATTCCGACGTACCCTACCACCATTTGGCAGCGAAACATCCCCATCCAAATCAGATGAGCAGAGATTAGCAGCAGGACTTGGACTTTCATCAAACACCTGATGGGCAACATTAGAAAGACAAGGATCAGAACGGGAGGTAGACATCCGGGGGTTCCTCCAAGTAAGGAGATTATCAAAGAACCAACAGAGCTCTAAACGATCCAAAGCTTCATCAATGAGCGGCACATCGCTTGAAGGAGAAGATTGAAGAGAGGCATTGATTGGGTCCATGGGTGGGCACTGCAAAGTTTGACCAAAAGGGGAAATGATAAAAAAGGGAAGAAAGGGAGAGATTGAGGAAATGGGTACCTGGGAAATGGAGTGGCCATCAAGCTTTCTTCTGAAAACGCCATTATATGATTAGGATGAACAGAGAAGGAAGCCATGTGAGATTTGAGTAACATGCGCTGTCTTTCGATCTCCACCCACAATACATATTATATATGTGCGTTGTAACAGTATTTTGTGTTGGATGGAATATTTTTGTTTGTCATATTATTATACTAAAAAAAATAGATAAAAATAAGTTTGAAATTTTGGCTGCATTCTTAAAAATTAAATTAAATTAAATAGATCTCTAAAATTTTTTAAAAATATTAAATAAATTTATAAATAAGTTATTGAACTATTTAAAAAAAAAATTTATTTTGTTTCTAATAAATTTAAAAAGTTCGATAAATCAATTCATTTTTAAAAATTTACAAAATACCGAGAAAAATATTATGTCTATAATCTATTTTTTATTTATATTTTTTTGTTGGTTAAAAATATATTTTTTTTAAAGGCATAAAATGTTATTCTAAATAAATCTCGACAAATATCTAAATAATCTTCTTTCGTTTAAGCAAGCAGAAACATATTATAATGAAACGTTTTCTGCACGATTTTCTATACCCAATGATTTAAGTAGGTATTAGAATGCATATAATTTTCAACGACACATCGAATTTCAGTGTTCAAGAATGATGAAGATTATTATTGACGTATATATAATATATATACATTTTGTTGTTAGATGCAAAATTTTTATAATCTCTAGAATGGAAAATAAATAAAAGGAAGCATTGAAGGCCTACAGCCATAGAAGGCAAGAAGACAGGTTAATTACAGCACATTCCCATGTGAGGCCTCCTCTCATTGTGCAAACAACCTTATCCATATCAATATTTTTCTACACCATTAGTTTCTTATTCAAACCATTGGACAAAAATTTAAGACGTTCCTACACTAATCATAATCAATATAAATGTTTTTGTAATTTTGTCACATAGGTCTAGAGATGTTCACACGGTGGAAATTTAGAACAGAGGAGCGGGTGAGAGACCGACTTAGACAACTATTCGACAAACAGACCGCAGTTGTATTAATGCTTCAAAGTCAACAATGCTGAAAAAGTATGAACTTATCGACATCGGTCCTAAACCTATTCATTATCAATCTCATGGTGGCCACTATCCGACTTAACGAATCACTTTCAAGCCTCGTCTACGTACCCACCACGAAATTCTTCACTTACATAAAGCTGTTGTACTAGGGTTAGAGGCGAAGAATATTCTTCATCTCCAGCCCTATTTTAGCTAACATAGAGAAATCTATTTCCATTTCTCTTATTCTCAATTTCAAAGGGGGATTCGGAGCATCGCCCTTCCAAACATATCAACAGCTAAACATCTCTCCAACCGACCTCTCTGAAATTACAGAGACTCGACAAACTTCAACGTGGCATAGCTACACTTTCCCTTTGTTATTATTCCAATGCAGCTATTTTTTACATTCCATTGGAACTCTACCATCATAAACATCATAACAGTACGAGGAAGAACCATTATTATGTAGGAATTGCAACAATAGGAGAGGTAACAATGAAATTTCTTATTCATGATTGAGAAATCTAGAAAAAGAAAGGTATATGTCAAATACGTTCCCAAACTTTTACAGGCTGCAAACTAAATCTCCAGCGCAGTTAAAATTTTCACATCCTGTAAAGTTCCAAAGCAATTTCGATGCTAAAAGCTGAGGAAATTATTTACAGGATTTAATGCAGGAGAGCTAACAAATCAAGTATACATGAAGTGTTTGGAAGGAGTTTTCATCAATCAAGTTCTAGCACCACTTTACCTGGAATGGTGTTCTTATCCTTTGCCTCATGAGCCTCCATTACTTGTGTGATTGGAAATGTTTTCTCAACCGGTATCTTTAGCTTTCCAGCTTCACATAGCCTCCTGATTTCGTCTAAACCTTCAGAATCCGCTCTCATGTACGTCCACCAGTACTCTAAAACAACAGAAGGAACAACAGAAGCAAAATGAAAGTTCATTAAACAAAGGAACATAAAATTGGAGCCATATGTCTGTTTTAATTCTGATGCTCGAATTCACCTTGAGGCATTGGATGGCACTATTTGAATTTAGAAAACTATATTTGCACTGAAAAATGTTCACAAACAGACAAATATAGCTTTCAGATAAGCGATTGAAGTGCATCTAGCATATGTTGTAACCATAAAATATTTCCTAGTCAAAAGGATTGGAACTAAGAACTAGAGAACATGATACAGATCGAAGTAGAAATTTCTATTCAACAGAAGGTTCCAGACTTGGGGAGATATCAGGACTTCCCAATCTCTCCTACTAATCAACTCTACCAGCCCTTACACTGCATGCCACATGGCCTCTATTTGAAGGGTGATAAATTGGAGCGATATTAAATTACCTTCTGCTTTTCGAGAATCGGAGCCAAGGAAAAGCTTCATTCATGTTGTATGGATATATATATTTTCCAACCTCACATATATCATTCCAAAGCAAGCTTTTAACATGAACTGGGAAACACAGCAATCATCTTACTTGTTACCACCAATGCATTGATCAAGAAAACTAAAAAGTAATCCTTTTCTGTGAGATCCCACATCGGTTGAAGAGGATAACGAAGCATTACTTATAAGAGCGTGGAAACCTCTCCCTACCAGCCGCATTTTAAAACCTTGAGGAGAAGCCCAAAAGGGAAAACCCAAAGAAGACAATATCTGCTAGCGGTTTTTGGCTGTTACAAATGATATCAGAGCCAAACACTAGGCAATGTGCCAGTGAGGACGTTGGGCCTCTAAAGGGGGTGGATTGTGAGATCTCACATCGGTTGGAGAGGGGAATGAAGCATTCCTTATAAGGGTGTGGAAACCTTTCCCTACCAAACCCATTCTAAAACATTGAGAAGAAGCCCAAAATGGAAAGCTCAAAAAGGACAATATCTGCTAGCGGTGAGCTTAGGTTGTTACATTTTCCAAAACAAATGAAGGTCCGTAAATCTATGCCAACCTCATAAGATTGTCCTGGTATTCATAATCTAGGTCCAACATGGATTGCACATCACAGTAGGACCATTCAACTTCTACAAGGTCTTAAAAACTTTATTATAAAAAACTTGCTATTCTAACAATTTAAGCTCAAGAATATAATTTAAAGAGGGAAAAGAAGCGGAAACTTATGCACGTGAAACTAGGAGTTGTTTATAATATGGAATATTACTGGGAAAATTCAAGGAGGAGGAGGGAACACCATGTCAAAAATGTAACTGGACAGTTCTAATATTATCTTTAAGCAGATTATATACTAGGAGAAATATACAAACTTTTGATTATTACCAATTCCATGAGAGCATCTGTACTGTAACTGTTTCTGCAACAGTATGCTTGTAGCAATAGGAAGCCCGAAAACTAGCCCATATCTATCAGTCAATGATGCAGCCTCGCCCTAAACAAAAGCGATTAGAAGCCTGAATTTCAAGAACACTTCAATTACTTCACGAAATACGGGTTAGCTTATAGCTCTATACCTGAAGTGTCATATAGTGTCCACCTCTATTCAAAAGATGGATGCCAATTCTTTCCGTATCTGGCACACCAATTGTATCCAAAACGGCATCAAATTTCCCCTCCATTGTGAATTCAATGCCCTATAAACATTCATGTAAAAAAAATCACTCAATCTCCCAGCTTCTAAATGCAAACTATCCATTGCAATCCAATGACAATGTCGAGTCAGGTAAAATAAAAATGGTGAGGTCCAAATCGGCTAGTGTATGAATCATCACCTCAGTAGTATAGTCAACTGCTTGCTCAGCACCTGCTGCCAGCAATTTATCTATACTTTGACTTCCACAAGTAGTTGCAACATGGCAGCCTGAAGCAACTGATATCTGAACAGCAGCATAACCTACAGCTCCTCCTCCACCAATTACTAATACCCGTTGCCTGCCACCAAAGGAGATTTAATGTTAGAAAATGTGTCAAAAGGATATCATAAATCAATAAAATTTAAATGTGTGCCTTACTGGAGAAGAACAAAGTTAACATACCCCTCTTTGATTCTAGCAGTACTTTTTAGAGCCCGCCATGCAGTAAGTGCAGCAAAAGGAATGGCACTGGCTTCCTGATAGAGAAAAAGAAATACAAAATGAAGTAAAAATATCAGGGAAGATTTTTTTTTTTTTTTTTTTTCTCTAAATTAGGCAGGACTGCTTGTCCTTTCATAAGCGAATCATTTCTGTTATAAGAATATGAGGCTGGAAAGCTATGTAAAACGAAAAAACAAATAACTAAATACAATCTAGTTGTAGTGGGAGAGTACTACCAGGTTTAGCTAAGTAATAATCTAACACAAACTTATTTTACCTGGTCAACATATTTAATGATTAATTACATGCCCTAGTATCTCTTTTAACATTCAAAATTTCCAATTGCAATCTTTGCTAAGAACCATAATCCTGTTAACGAGTAATTAATTTCTTACTATACATAATTATTTCATTACTTAGTTGATAGTTTCTTTAGATAGAAGGACAGTTCCGGGACAAGGACAAAGTCACAAAAAAAAAAATCTAAAATTATTTCAATCTTAGACCTTGACATATATGATAGTTTTGAATCCAATTCCTACAGAAAGAAGATATTTGTTTTCCTTATTAATAACCAGCTCCAATTCTCTTATGAATCTTCCATTATTGGGTTAGCCTACAGTTCTCATGCTTCTAGCCATTCATGTGTCATTATGAAATGATAAAAGTTGGATAAGAATCTGTAACAAACTAAAGGACCCTTTGTGTTTGACAACAATTTAACGAATAAAAAATTCCTTTGAGCAACATTGACATTTAGATGATAGGTTACATCCTTGTGTATCGAAGCAATGTTCCCAACTAAGCCGAATGGGGTGCCAATCAACAAAGGCAGAAAAGCTATGATGACAAAGATTGCAAAAAACAAGCTTTACCAAGCTTGATATCAGAAAGTGAATAATAAACCTCTAGGGTATCATTTATGCAGAATTAGAAAGGAAAAACTATGGAAACGTGTTATTTGTATCCGAAACAAATTTAGAAAATATAAAACATATCCTAAGCATTCAAGAGACTTAGTCCTCTCTGTAACGGCCAAAGCCCACCG